AGGAAATTAGTTTTCTTTTTTATTTATTATTGGGAAATTAAATTTGAGACAAAGAGGGTAATTTGGGAAGATAAAAATGAGGAGAATAATTTATGGATCTGACAAAAAATAATTACAGAAGCTAGAGCACTGTAATTATAGAAAAGAAATCAAACTCGGAGTAAAAGTGCACCGATAGAGTGAAAACTAGAGTCTTACACTTTACTTGGCCCACAAGTTGCCACTTTTCAAGCCCCTAATGGATGGTAATTAAAGCTTTCCAAGTGTCAAGCATTAAGTGGAGAGGATCTTGACTTTGGAATTAAATTACATTATGATTTACTTAATTAAGAGAGAAATTTCAAGACTAAGTAGGAAGGTGACACTTGGCAACTTATTTATGATGGTGGTTGGGATATTTTGGTGCATTAATTGAGCTCTTCCTCCCCCTAAAATCTGATTAGTGTTTTGGCCAAGGCAAGAAGAGAGGAAAAAAAAGAGAGCTTGATGGAGAAATCAAGAGAAATGGAGCAACTTTGATCATCCAACTAAGATCCAAGGTTAGTTTTTGGTTCTAAGTTGTTCCTTGCCTTGTTTGCTTGAGTTGTATGGTTAGAATTTCTGGCTCTCCCCTTTTTCATGAGCTGGCCGAAATGTTTATTGAGTGGGAAAGGAAGTTTGGTTGCTAAATCTTACTATAACACTTCAAAGCATGATAGATCCTAGTAGTTACAAGTGGTTGTAGGTTGATTTTGGTGTGTTTTCTTTGTTATGTTGCATGAGGACCATTTCGGGCAAAGTAAGAACTAGACCCTAGGATGTGTTTTTCAAATTTTTGAGGCTTCCATTGTGTTCAAAATGGAAAATGGTGTAGGATAAACCTAAAGAATAAGTGTTGGAAGCCATAAAATCAAAGTTGTAATTTTTGGAAAATGAACCATAGTGGTTTGGCCAGGCTGAAACTGGAAGAGGAAGTTTTATTTTCTTAAATCTAAGTAGATATTTGGAATCTACATGAAAAATCATGTAGGAATGAGCCAAGAGGGAATTTTTAGGGTTAAGGAAATAAACTCTAAAAATTCAAGAACAAAGATGGAAGCTTTAAGGGGTTTAGGAGTTACTTGAATTATGTTATTAATTTTATATGAAATGGTTGGTACCCTTGCTGCCCTTTTTGTGATATATCATGATTAGGGTTTGTTAATTGTCGAGAAGAGGAAGAAGGTCAAAGAATCAAGAGCATTGGATTAAGGTAGTAAGATTTAATTGACCTTAATGTTGAGTGTTGCATTGATTGCTATGCAATTTCATGTGCTATTATATGATTGAGCTAAATGATAATGATGATGATTGTGTAGCTATACTCCTTGCTTTATATGCCTTAGCTATTGCATGTTAGAGTGCTACATGTATGAGGTAAAGTAGTTCCCTATTAATAGCAAAAGGTTGGAATGCTTGTAATTGATGCATGTTGATGTTTTGGTTGATTAATCTTGCTACTGGGATTTCATTGAAATCTCATCCCCCATATGTAACCTAATATTCTAGGGACTGAATCATCAAAAGGGAGGCTGCAAATCCAAGGATAAATATGGTGATGAGCCATGAGGAAATATTTATATTTGGTTATGTATAAGCATGTATGGTTGGAGCTGTAATCTCTAAGCAGGACGCCAAATTAGAGCTACATTTTATTAAGTTACTGAACAAATTTCTGCACAAAATTTTATGTGCTTAAATTTGACATCATGACCTTCAAATCGGTAGGCAGCATGTTAAAAATGACTAACTACACGATTTTTAATGATTTTTCAAAATTAAGGTTCAGAATCTGGAAAAAGGATTTTTGCCAAATGGACAAAAGTGACTTTCACAAAAACCTGACACTTTTTCAAATGAAATTGTTCATAAGATTATTTTTTCTTGAAAGAGAATTCAAAAATCTTTTTATATAATTTTGAATCACTCCATTTTGATTTTTCTAGATTAAGTTATGAATTTTTGAATTTGGGTCAGAAAACTGGATTTTTACCTAATGAACAATAAAAATCCGAAAATCAGCGTTTTTCATGGATTTTGGAGCCCAAGACCATCCAAGGTGGTCTAAAATGATTTTAATTAAACCCTAAGTGGATTCAATAATAAGGTATGACATACCCCAACCTAATAACCATCCAGTCATAGGCACTAAATGGGTATTTAAGAATAAGGTTGATAAATCTACATAAATTGTCAGGAACAAGGCTCTATTGGTTGCAAAAGGCTATAAGCAAGAGGAAGGTATTGATTATGAGGCATGTGCTCTAGTAACTACATTAGAAGCCATACGAGTACCCCTAGCCTTTGCTTGTATAAAAGATTTCAAATTATATCAAATGGACGTTAAAAGTGTCTTTTTAAACGGTTACATAATGAAAGAAGTATTTATCAACAACCCCTTCGCTTTAAAGATCCCAGCCTTCTTGATCATGTTTATAAATTGAAAAAGGCATTACATGGTTTGAAACAAGAACCTAGAGCCTGGTATGAATGCCTTAGCAATTTCTGATAGAAAAGGTTTTGAAAGAAGCAAGGTTGATGCAACACTTTATTTTTAAAAAAAAAGAACTCTTAATAGTGCAAATTTATATACATGATATTATATTTGGGGCTACTAATGAAGATCTTTGTAAAGAGTTTGCTAAGTTGATGTAGGGAGAATTCGAGATGTTGATGATGGGATAGCTAAATTTCTTTTTGGGATTGCAAATCAAACAGAGGAAGAATGGTATAGTTATATCATGAATGAAATACCCAAGAGAACTTCTAAAAAGATATGGATTGGATCAGGTAAAAGGTGCAAACACACTAATAAGCTCAATGATATCTCTGGATGCAGATGAAAAAGGCAAGAATGTAAGTTTAACAAGATATCGAGGAATGATTGGATCACTACTCTATCTCACAGCAAGCAAACCAGACATTTAATTTAATGTAGAAATGTGTGCTATATATCAGTCAGCTCCTAAGGAATCACATGAAAACACTATCAAGAGAATGCTCAGGTATCTTGCCAGAACACCAAATCTGGGGATATGCTATTCGAAAAGAGGAGCAGAATACTTACTGGGTTACTCAGATGCTGACCATGATGGATATAAAACTGATAGAAAAAGCACAAGTGGACAATGTCAATTCCTTGGAGGATGTCTAGTCTCATGGCCAAGTAAAAAGCAAAAAACGGTAGCTATATCCTCTATTGAGTCAGAGTATGTTGCCACTGCAAGTTGTTGTCACTACTACAATGAAGACTTTTTACTTCTGTTTTGCATGACTTTTTACGTCTGTTTTGCAGGGGACATGAAAAGAAGGGACATAAAAAGTACCCCCTTTTTACTTCTGTTTGGAACGGACGAGAATTCACGTCTGTTTTTGGTAAACAGACGTGAATTCACGTCTGTTTTAGAAGAAACAGACGTGAATTCACGTCTGTTTTTCGCTGAACAGACGTGAATGTGCTCTGTTTTTTTTAAAAAAAGATTCAGTTCGTATATACTGCTTCTCCTACAGCCACAATAGCCATAATAGCCACTTTCCAGCAAGTTGAAATAGTATGAACCAGTCAATATTTTCAGCCAAGACATATCAACATCATAACTTCATCTATATAGACACATTAATTAACTAACTAGTCAAAAAAGAAGAACAAATTACAAAAGTCAATATTGATCCTATTGTCTCTAAACATAAACTTGCTCAATCCCTGGACCACAATTCTTGAAGCAGTTGCTGTGCCAAAAGGTCTCGGATGAAGTTAATGTCATCAATAGTATATGAACAATCATTATCAAAAATCTGTAAATTGACAAATGAACAAATTTAAACATAGGAAGAAAATAAAATAAGTAACAATTCAATTTAAAAATTCAACTATTACAAAACTAAAATTATATTTACTTACCTCATCAAATTTTGTAATACATCCGCTCTCAATAATCTCAAACATATAACGGATAATGTAATATCCGCACTCTGTTGGCCCTTGTTGCTTAGCACACTGCAAATCACAAGGAAATGATAATCCAAATTCATATATAAAATAACTGCCATCAATGAAAGAACTTCAATTTAAAGTACTCACACTAGGATATACCCAAGTTGTTGAGCCATTTTTCCCGGAACGCTTCCCACCGGTTATATAATAAGTCTTTAAAGCCCTATAAGCAAATGAAAGCACAAGTTAAATAATTTATATTGAAAACAAAATTATTGATCTACATTAAGGTACTTACGTGTTGAAAACGCCCCTCATCTCACTGCTTGGACGACGACCCAAGGGATCAAACCAGTAGATGACATTGTCAATGGGACAAGAAACACACAAACTCCAATGACAACTGCATCATAGAGTAAGACTTATACATTACTGGATATCACAATAATTCTTAACAATTTAAGTATGTATAAATAAATATAATTAAGCTACTTGCCCTTCAATAATTGGTGCCAAATAACAAGGTAATTTAGTGTCTCCAATCGTATTGCCCACATATCTGATTCTCCTATCTAGTGGGTTGTACTTCTTCTGGACACTTGCAGGGCATAAATATCCATACAAATTTCTCTTCTCCATTGATGACATGCATTTGTTATGGAAGAAGCTATCATTGAATTGAAATAAGATAATTATTAGTATGTGAAAGTAAGAAATTAGAAATTTAAGTTAGAAATGAAAAAGTAAACTTACATGATTGCTAATTGAACCCATGCTATGTCCAACTCCTTCAAGGATAAGAAATCCCTGATGTCTTTGTTGTCAAGTCCAAAGAAATATGATTTTTCTTCACCCACAATCCCTACAGGCATCTTTATGTCGACCTTGTTAATTGTTTTATATTCCTCATATAATTGTGCCAAGCAGGGATATCTATTAACATCTTCCTGGTCCTAATGAAACATCAAATAAACATAATAAGTATTATAAGTATTATGTTAAAAAAATGCACACAATATAGAATAACATTTTCTTACCATCACAGGTATTATCTCCTCATCAACAAGGTGTCTAGGCCAAAGAATGAAAGTTCCAATTGCCTGACCTAACTTCACAACTTCAGCAGTCGGGAATGGCACATCCGCACCTGTCTCTCCCTCTCGAACAGTCGTAACTGTAACCCTCGCTTGGTCCTCTTGAATATGTTGGTGATGGATAGTGCTCCCTTGATTGTAGAGGAGAGCGTCAGCAACAACACGCATCCTTGGGACCTCTAAACGAAGACAACAAGGTTGTCCAAAGTCCGGCGTGGGACTACTAGGATCATGCTCTCCCAATGCCCCCGGTGGATTACAACTGTTTTTAGTGCTAGGAAAGACGGGGGAATCCTAAATGAGAGAAATGCAAGTATTAAATTAAATTAAAAAAACGTTGGTAAAACTCAACATTAATTTAAGTGAAATTGATTACAAACCTGGGGTGTGCATTGTTGTTGAACTGTCCCAATTTGCATGCTAGAGACCATAGATTTCATCTCATCACGAAGCTCAGCCATAAGCTCTTTTCGAAGTGACTGGCGTAACTGGGCCTCAATCTTGACCTCTAGCTCAGATTGGAGCTCATCACGAACTTGGTCTCGAAGTTTAGCTATCATCTCATCAGTGGGTTGACTTCGTAGAGAAGCTCGTGAAGTTTGTCCAAAATATTGGGTAAGACCAACTGTCCTCCCTTCTCCTCTAACGCGTCCGGGGTGATCAGGCTTCCCAATCGCTGTCGCTAAAATGTCCATCCTTCCACTCGGACTAAATGAACCTTCACTGCTTTGCTCTTCAAGTACCTCCTATAACATTTTAAGTATGATAAAAAATTAATGACAGTATAATAGAAAATTAATGATAAAATATAAGGAATATTACCATAAGTTAAAGTTATTTGATGTATACAACTTACAATTTTTTTAGCAATCTCAGCAACTGCTGGATTAATATATTGACCCTTCTTCATCCTTGCTTCCTTCCATTTTCTATGACGTGGAGGAGGAGGTGGGGTCTGAACAACGATACTAGGATCAGATTTTGCAGCTTCCTGCATCGCCTTAAAGTCATCCTGCATGATCCTCTCCTCAAGCATCTTGTAACCTCCACGGGATAAATAGTGCGGATATAAATTTTTAGCTTGCCTTTCTTTATTCATCGCACTTAATTCCTGTGGAAAAGAAAACAAAGTAAATTGAGTAAGTGAAGTAAATTAAATCAATGACTTTGCTTTATAAGGCAATGTACCTGAAATTTAGGATCATGCCGTGATGCCACAAACCTCCTCCAATCATCTGGATCAAGGAAGGAGTATTTTTCGCACGGATCATCATCTTTCTAGGCCCTCGCACATACTGGCTCGTGAGTGTGTGCTTAAAATCTTTCCAGCGCTGACGAACTTGCTGCAACAAATGCTTTTTCATTTGCTCAGTACGAGGGATGTCATACGTTTGCTGCAAAGAAAAATATATATGTTTGAGTTTAAGATCTTAGTTATAACTATATTTACAATAAAACAAATGAAATAAAATTAGAAAGTGACATACCAAAATATATTCCCAAATCCTATCCTTCGTCTCCTTAGAAATTGACTTCCAATTAGGCCATAGAATATTGACTTTGCTTCGGGCAACGGAGCCTATATAGCTAATGAATCTGTCCTTCTCTTCACCAATTGGATTCATATTGGCATCAAAATCCACATGCTTCTTCTGAATACGACCATGACGTACTGCTAACTTTGGTAGCCTTGTACTACCTCTAACCTTCCTTCCTTCCGGCTGATTGACATCATCGATGTCATAATCCTCCTCCATATTCATCAAAATCCTCCTCCATATTGGCATCAAAATCCTCCTCCATGTGCCTGTTGAAAAACCAAAATTAGATAAATAAGTAAATTATAGTGAAATGTATTAATATATAAATAATATCAAGTACATTGCAATGAAATAAATGAAAGAAAATAACACAAGGTACGTTGCAAAATTACATTACTTAATCTGACTTTATGCATTGTCCCATATCCCTTCACAATGATCATCTCTTGCAGCATATTCATCATTATCTACCAATTCTACTTCACTTGGTCTAGGCGGATTTGAAGCAAAAGGTGGTGTCTCATCAAGATTCATGGTAGGATCACTGTCCTTCTGCTTTTTACTTTGAAGGACAATAGACAATTTTTTATTTGCTGGATCAGTAACATAAAATACTTGTTTTGCCTGGCTTGCTAAAATGAAAGGCTCATCTGCATAACCAACCCTGCCAAGATCAACTAATGTAAATCCAAATTGTTGATCTATTTCAATACTGTTGTTGTTGACCCATTTACATTTGAAGACAGGAATCTTGAAATTGGTGTAGTTTACCTCCCATATCTCTTCAATAACTCCATAATAAGCCATAGATGCCAATTTGGGGTTTTTATCTTTCGAACTCGAAAAATGCATCGCTTCAGCAACCACCATTACCCCACTATTCTGCACAGTACTTTTGTCATCTTGAGCTTTTGTGTAGAAGGAATATCCATTTATGTCGTATCCACTCCAAGTGATAACTTCAAAACAAGGACCCCAAGCTAACCATTTTATTGTATCAGATACATTGGCCTCTCTCAAAACTTTTTCACTGAACCATGTTATAAATGTTTTGTTATGCTCATTTGCTATCTGCATATCACTTTTCTTTGGATACTTCTCTTTTAAACTTTTTTTGTGATCATCTAAATACGACTGCACTTCTTCCATATTATTCAATATGTATAAGTGCGCTTGTAACACTTCTTCACGACCCATACTCTTTACCTTCAACCCCCTGATTCCTTTACTTGTACCGTTTTCATGCCGAGATGGTGTCTTAGCTATAGATAGATATGTTTTGCAAAATTCCATAGCCTCTTCCGCTACATACCTTTCAACAATTGATGCTTCAGGTCGATAAGGATTTTTAGAATAATTTTTTAAGACTTTCATGTACCTCTCAAATGGATACATCCATCTTAGAAAAATAGGACCGCAAAGCCTTATCTCCCTCACTAAATGAATGATCAAATGCACCATGATGTCAAAAAATGCTGGGGGAAAGTGCATTTCTAGTTGAGACAAGATAACATAACCCTCATTTTCCAATTCATCCAATTTCTCTATGTCAATGACTTTGCTACAAATAGCATTGAAGAAGATACATAATCTAGTTATAGTGCTCCTCACATCATCTCTCATTGTGCCTCGAATAGCTACGGGTAATAGTTGTTGCATCAGTACATGATAATCATGAGACTTCATTCCCACTAACTTCAAATCATGCATTGAGACAAGCCTTTTCACATTAGAAGAATACCCCTGGGGCACCTTGATGTCATGCAAACACCGACACAAGCTTGTTTTTTCGACTTTAGACAATGTGTGGGCCGCAGGTTCCATATAAGCCCGCTTACCACCCTCTCTCAATTGTGGATGTAAGCGCTCTCGAATGCCCATTTCAGCCAGATCAAGTCTTGCATTAATTCCGTCTTTAGTTTTTCCAGGTATGTGCAAAAGAGTATCGATAAGACTATCACACACATTTTTTTCCACATGCATCACATCGATACTGTGTCTTACATCAAGACTGCGCCAATATGGAAGATCAAAGAAAATAGACCTCTTCTTCCATATGTTTTTCTCACTTGCAGCTTTTTGAGTCTTACCGAAAATGACATTGATTCTTTCAACTCGCTGGTAAACTTCCTCTCCAGTTAATGCCTTCGGAGCCATGCCATGCTCTGGTGAGCCATTAAAAACCTTTTTCAATCTCCGGTATGGGTGGAACCGATCAAGAAACCTCCTGTGACCGAGGTAAACTGTCTTCCTTCCGTGCTTAAGTTGGTGGAAGTATGTGTCTGCTTCACATATAGGACATGCTTTATGCCCCTTCACACTGTATCCTGATAGATTTCCATATGCAGGAAAGTCATTTATCGTTGTAAAGATCATGGCACGCAACTTAAAGGACTCCTGCTTGTATGCATCAAACACATCCACGCCTTCTTCCCACAACATCTTCAAATCTTCAATTAAAGGTGCCAAGTAGATATCGATATTGTTTCCTGGTTGTTTCGGTCCTGAAATCATCATAGAAAGCATCATGTACTTGCGCTTCATACATAACCAGGGAGGTAGGTTGTAAATCACCAACAGTACTGGCCATGCACTATGTGTGCTATTAAGAGTACCGTAAGGGTTGATTCCATCTGTACAAAGCCCAAGGCGAAGATTTCTTGGTTCAAGACCAAATTCTGGAAACATTTCATCTATTTTCTGCCATTGAGGAGAATCAGCAGGGTGCCGAAGATATCTTCCATCTGATATTCTCTCATCAAAATGCCATCTTAACTTCTTCGCTTCTGTTGCATTAGCAAATAAGCGCTTAAATCGTGGTATTATCGGAAGATACCATAACACCTTCAAAGGTTGCCCTTTACTTGTCTCGTCACCATCATAGTTACCAGCACAGTCCATGTTCTTTTTCACCTTGTATCGTGAAGTTTTACATTTTGGGCACTCACGTAGACCAGCATACTCTTTTCTATATAATACACAGTCATTAGGACAAGCGTGTATCTTTTCATAGCCCATACCCATCCGAGACAAGATTTTCTTTGCTTCATACACACGATTTGGAAGAACGTTATCAATTGGAAGCATATCACTAATCAATTGAAGCAACTCTGTGAAACTTTTGTCAGTCCACCCATTATTTGCTTTTAAACTGAACAATTTCAATACAGCTGTCAATCGTGTATACTTAGAACACCCAGGGTACAAAGGCATCTCTGCATCACTCTTCAAGTTATCATTTGCATGTGATTGCACAAAGAACTCTACCCCTACATCACGAATCATATCGCTCATTCTATCATTTACATCATCCATATCTTCCTCTTCTTCGAGTATTGAACTTGTTCCTACTTCACCATGCCATATCCATTTTGTATATCGAAGATTTATACCATCACAAAGCAGGTGATCTCTAATATCATCAACACTTAGTCGCCTCTCATTTAAACACTTGACACAGGGACAAAAATACATTCCGTTATTGCTACGAGCATTCTGTTTAGCAAATTCAATAAATCGTTCTACTCCGTTCTCATATTCATCACTTGTTCTCAAAGCATTCATCCAACTATGATCCATTCTGTTACTACCTAAGGAATTATAAACAATTTAATTCCATTCAGCACAGTCCCAATAAACATTAACCAAATTCAAAACTAATGATATCAATTGAATCCGATTCATTCCAATTACAACATAAATCATGCCAATTCCAAGCAAATGATTTCAAACTTCAAATCTATTACCCAATCAATGTAAACAAATTTTAACTTATCTAAATGCAATTTTTTCATTAATCATTTAATGTATACCCAATCCTTAATCTAAATTCAACACATATAGCAAACTATCTAATGCAATCCCTCTTAGGCATTTTAACAAACACCTTGTATGCATTATTTTTCTAACAAGATTAACAAGGCTTGAAATCATTAAAATTTCTACCCAATCAATATATACAAATTTAAAACTATCTAAACACAATTCTTCAGTAAAAATTTAAACAGCAACCTCAGAAACCAATTCAAAACTCCTCAAGCTACTCAAACCCACCGTACAACACACTAAACCCACAATGCAACGGTTGAATGAACTTACCTTCACCGTTCTGGCGTGCCTTCGAATCAACGGCCTACAAGAGGACGACGACGGTGAGCTGCTGTGCGTGTGAGCTTCACCGCTTCAACGGCGAGCTGCTACAACACGGCTACTGCAGAATGCGCGACGCAATGGAGGGAGTCCGCCTACGGCCTTGAAGAGCTGAAACCAGGGGGAGAGACCGAAACAAGTTGAAATAGCTCACGACTACTTCACGGACAAGAGGAAAATGAGAGGGAGAGACCGAT